CAAAACGATTTCTATGCTTTGTGCTTTCGCGCTCCAATCATTCAGCCACAACGTGTTGCTCTCAACGTTCATGCTTCTTAGCTTTTTACATAATTTTCTTTTTATTCGCTATTTTGTAAAAAAAAATAAAAAATAAAAGCGGAAAAGAGAAAAAGGGGAAATAATGGTTGGAAAATCCAAATGAGACTTGTTGAGGAACGAAAAAGAATAGTTTATATGATTGTTGACTTGACACGTTGCTGATGTCTCCCTCTTGCCTCTCCCTCTTTCTACTTCTCTCCCTCTCTATCCTTCTCGTGTAGCTCCCAAATTTGGAAAAAATTGACAAAAAAAAGGAGGAAAAGAGAATAGAGGGAAATATGAAGAGGATGAAATGAGCAATACGAACTTAGAGAGAGAGAGAGAGAACGATTGAGAGAGAAATAGTAAAAGAGAGAGAGGGTTAGATAGAGTAAAACATATATAGAGGGAGGGACCCTAAAGCACGAGGAAAAAAGTTTTTTTTTGAAAGCAGTTTTGATGCTTCATATACGCCTCTTCCATCTTAGGAAATGTATTTTCTTCTTCTGTGTTGCGAAATAGCGAAGGACATGATTTCTCTCACATTTGGAATGTTCTAAAGGAGGACCCTTCCTTCGTTTTACTTCCATATTTTCTTTATTTAATTTCCTTTCATTTTTTAACGAACAAATCACGCTTCGATAGCTCTCATCCCTCCCATCCTCCTCCCTCACTCTCTCTCTATCTGTTTCCCTCTATTTCGCGGTGTCATTCGCAGTTGAACGCTTCTGAAGTTCTCTTGCACGACAAGCGACAAGCGCCTAAGCTCAATCTCCTCTCCGAGAGAATGAGTATTTGAATGAAAATATTTCCCCCGTCCAATCATCCTCGTTAATAACATTTTTGGATTTTTTTTTCCTTTCCTCTTTCCTTTTTTTTTTTTTTTTTATTTTTTTTGCACAAAATTTCTTTTCTGTTCATCTTCTTCAGGCCATTCGCCTGCAACCGTATTGCAACCACCACCTCCTCCTCCTCGTCCCAGCTGTTTTTTTGTTGAAGAGAGCACTCAAAATTAAAAAATCTATTTTACATAAATATCTTTTATATGTTTTCGTTTTACAACCCTGAACCCAACTCTCTAACTCATCTTCCATTCCCTCCCAATACTCTCTCTCTTTCTGTATCCCCTCTCTCTCTCTCTTTGCCACTCTCTCTATTTTATTATCTCAGCTGATTTCTTTATTAAATTTCTTTTTCTCCACTCTCTCTCAATCCTTTTAAAGCCCTTCATCATATCTATCATTCCCTCTCAATCTCTCTGTATTCATCTCTGTTCATCTCGTTTCTATCTCCATTTATTCTGAATTGCCCCTTTCCAAACCATTTCTTAGTTATCCTACCAAAAGCATTGAAGCTCTCAGCTTCATCTATCAGTTGACATCACACGCAGGCACACACAAAAAAGGGAGTAAAAGAGGGAATGGTAAAAGGGAGAGAGAAAGAGAGAGAGAGAGAAAGAAGGAGATGTCTCCTATTTCCCTCGTTTATGCATGTTGTCCTTGGTATCTTCCACACAAGAATATTTCATTCTTCTGTCTTTTAACAGCTGAAAAAAAACTAATTCTGAAGCTGACAATAGCCAATTCTGAGCTTCTCCCTTCCATAAATCACTTGAATTCATTCGATGCCGTTCATGGCTACGAATAATTCTATCTGATGCCCTCTCTCTCACTCTCAATGTGTGTGTGCTTCTTCCTATCTTTCGATGTCAAGCTTCATCTTCTTGTGCTTCTTCAGCCATCCCATTAATCCAATAGATATAGTGAACTCAAAAGAAATTTCCAAACAAAAAAGGAAATATTGCTTATCACTTCAAATGTGTCCATGAATAGAGAGCGACGATTGAAGAAGGAAAAAAGCTTCAGAATCGACGTCATAATCTTGAAGCAATTGCTTGGTGTCGTCCGTTGCTTGACTTCCTGAATTCCAGCAAGCAAGTTGTAAAGCTATTTAAGGCTCTCTTGTGTTCCAATTTTTGCCATTGACGCCAATACATTCACATCTGAAATATATAAAATAAACTTTATTTTTACATTTATAGCCCCCTGAGGGCATTAATTAAAGGACGAACAAGCCACTGTCGGTGAATTCATTAAGCTTCACTTACGAAACCAAAAAATGACAAAGTAATATCTCTTTCTCTCTCGCGCTCTCTCTCTCTCTCTATCTCTCTCTCGACGGTCTTTCCTCATTCATTAATTGCAAACGATGAATAAGGAAAAACCATTTTTGGACTTTCATGACGTGACCTTTCCTTCCTTCCCTTCTCTCTCTCTCTTCCTCACTCTCTCTCTCATAAAGCTTCTGTATCATCAACCCTCTTTCCTTTTACAACAAAAAAAATATTTGAATAATCTCTAATCTCTTTCAATTATTCCAAATATGCCTATCTCACTCATCCATAAACACCTCGTGTGAATTCGTTTTGTTATTTTCTTTCAAAACCATCGTAACCTAATATGATTTGCTTGTATTGACTCTTATTAGTTAGATATAACTATCTAGAGAGATATATAGTTAACATCTCATAGATATAACATCATGCTAAAGCTTAGTAGTTGATTAGCATGAGAGTACAAGTTCAGGAGACTTGCACACTAGATCTCATGCATGATATCTCTGCTTTCGACACTCACTTGTTGTTCTTCAATCACAATCACACGCACCCTCTTATCCTCTCTCTATCTTTCATTACTACTCGTCTATCTCTCTCTCTCCCTCATCGTCCCCCTCTCTCTCTCTCTCCCTCTTTCAATATACTCTGTGTGATGTCTTTTCTAAAACCTCGGGAGAGAAAGAAACATTTCTGACATAATAATAGTTGTTTTCATATATTATTCTAATTCTAAACTTCACGTGAGCCACGTGAAAAATTCCCATCTGCCCATTTCATTTTTACATCTGCAGCCCTGCTGAACGGTTGTGTTTCTTTATTCTTTCCATTCTTCCGTCCCTCCTCCCTTCCTCCCTCCCTCCCTTTTTCCTTGAAAATTTTTTTTTCTTCTCCATCCTTATTCAACAAAATGAATTATGTTCTTTTTTATTTCATCTGAAACTGTCTCTTCCTCCTATGCCTCGTTCTTCCTTCCTTCATATCCTCTTCCTCATATTCAAATTCATAACTTTGACGTCGTCGGCATGTGCCAAAGGATAGTTTCGAACTTCTTTTCAATTGCTTGCTCTCTTTGACTCCTGAAGTCAAACAGATTGTTCTTTGTTACAACTCGAAAAGAAGCAACAAAAAAAAACATCTCAATAGATGCCTCAGGGCTATTGTCAAACAAATTCCAAAAGGACTCTATTGTCATCTATGGAAGGTCAACAACGATATGAAGTATTGTCATCCATTTTGACATTCAGCAAGTGATAGTGTCTTCTGTGTTTCGAATCTTAGAATCCGATTTGCTGTTCATCTTCTTCTTGCTTCAGCATCACAGCTTCTCTCTATCTCCTTTCTCTCTATGTCTCCCTCTCTCTCTCTTAAGCCTTTCACTATCTCTGCCTCCTCCCCCCTTCCCTACATGTTATTTATGTGAAAAACAAATGAAAAAATGTTTTTGTTGTTTTTGTTCTGAAAAAATCTTTATTTAAACAATTAAATTGGCTACTGGCTACTTGTGTGCCTTATTTAGGTGTTCACACACTCATACACACAAATGGTTATAGCCCCAGGGGGTCTCAATCCCCCCCTCACCACTCCCTTACTCTCTGAAGTTCACCTTAGGCCTTTCATCTTCATCTTTTCAATCATTTTTCTCAATTTGTTCCAAAGATTTTCAAACTCTGAAAGTCTGTGAAAGAAGTGTGATTGACAAATCATATTGTTAAATCATATTTCTCTTATCTGAACCTCTCAGAGAGCTTATACGATAGAGAGAGAGAGAGGGGAAGAGAGGAAGAGAGCGCTAATGCTTCAAACTATCTCATTTGGTAGCACTTTGGGTATGTTTCCTTCCCTCCCTCTCTCTCTCTATCTCTACATCTCTCCCTCCCTCTCTCTCTCTCTATAAAATGAAGAGAGGAGAAATCTTTTTTTCTTCTTCTTCTTCATCTCTTCTCCTTCAATATCGTCGTCACAAGTAGGAGTTTTGCAGAAAAACGAAGAAATCTAAACATTGTTCCATTTCGCCCATCAATGTTCTTCCTTTTTCACATTTCAGATAAGATAATGATTCAAATTGGCTAAAATCTCTCTCTTCCCCTCTGTTTCTCTCTCTCTCTCTCCCTCTGAATGTGTCTTCATCCTCTCTTTCCACATTCTCAATGTTCATCCTCTCGTTAATTCCAAACAAAGACTCTTCTGTACTTTATACTTTACTTTGGAGATATTTTTTTCCTGTCTCTCTATGGCAATCTCTCTCTCCCTCTCAAACATCCTTTCTCTTTCTCTCTCTATGTATCTCTCATGTGGCTCTCAGTTTCCATGTTTTCCTTATATTTGTTCCAATTGAGTCCTCTTTTCATTTCTCATGTATTTTTCTTACTTTTATTTGAAACAACATACTCATCAGATTTCCGGCAATAGCATCAGCTCAGTTGCATCACCGACAACGGAAGCTTCACCGTTTCCGATGCGTTCAAGACGATTAAATATTTTTGTTTTTCATTGTCTTTCTTGATTCCTTCTCTCTTCTTTCTTTCTTTTTTTTCTCTCGTTTGGGTTAGAAGACCATATTTCTCCCGCCTCTTTCGCATTTTCATCTGAGCTTAGATGTTGAAGCTCCTCCTTCTCTGAAACTCCTTTTCATTTGGGACCTCCGTTGAACAGAGACCTCATTTTAACTTTCTTTTTTGATCTCTCATGTCTTCAACTATGCTCTTTTCTCTTATTACAAATCGTATTATACCTATTCTGCAGTTCTTTCCAACTCTCTCATCCTCTCTCACTCCATTACCGTATTCATCACCATCATCATCATCTCTGCCTGAGACTATCGACGATGATATTTGCCGGTGGATTCAGTGACTTCGAAGTAAGTTCAGATGACTCGGTTAACGAGAATACCTGAAGATAGCACCTCCGCGAGGATTTTTGATCATCAAAAATGATGGGGAAAAGTGTGAAATTGGTGGATATATCATCTCTCATCAGATCGTTTGTCACAACAACCTCCAATCAGTCAGAGGTGCTTGTGGTGGCTTCATCAAGAGCAACGTTTCAAATTGAAAAGAAAAAAAAAGCTGAAAAGTTGAAAGGTCGATATGTGTGTATGTGAGTGTGAGTGTGTTTGTATGTGTTGGCTGGTCATTCAAGAATGTTTTCAAACCAACAACATCGCTTTGCAAATGTTGTTTAGAAGGATGTGTTGAAGGATTTTCCTTTTCTTCTTCTCCTTCCAATCGTCTTCCTTCATTCGTTTCGTATTCAACTTAATGAAAAGAATTGAAATTGTCAAAAAGTTTTGAAGAGGAACTTTCTGAAGATTCTTGACGATGAAGAAGCCAGATGACTGGTGACGATGAGAAATTTCATTCATTTGAATGTTGACCGAAGAAGTCTTTCTATACTATAAGAAGTAAGAGGAACTTCTTGAGATGTCATTTCTCGTACTGTGTGATATGACAAGGAAGAGCTCATAGAGCTTCAGATATTCTCTTTCTGTCCGTCACTAAGCTCACCATCATCTTGACATACGGTTGTTCACAAAGTAAAAATAAGGGGTTTATGTCCTTTTCTCATCAAAGTTCATATTCAAAGAGAGCAAGAATGTTCTTCCATTCGACCTTTTTCTTCTTTCCGACACCATGTCGACAACGATGACAACGGCAACGTTGACGAGAACGCAGAGATTCAAACCAATTACATCAAAGCTGCCATCGTGTCGCCGTCTATTCTTAGCTTGTTGATAAAAGCTATTTTTCCATTTTTATGAAGTCGCATCCATCATGTTTGACTTTGAGAGAACAAAAAAGAAACAAAAGGAGATAACACACACCAAGTCAAAAAATGAAAGAATTTCTTGAGCTTCTGCTTAAAGCATAAGCTTAAGCTCAAAGAAATGTCATTGTTGTGTGTTCTCCACAAATTGATTTCTTCAATCTTCCATAATCTGACATCTATCCATTTTCAGAGACTACAGAAAGCTGAACAAAAAGAAAAAGAGAAGAAACAACGTGAACGACAGAAAAGTATTGAAATTCAACGTGACCGTGCTCATCGAGCTGCTTGGTAAGTCTATTTCTATCCTCCTGTTCTCAATAAGCTTGAAACAAGATGTCTCTTGAGATGATTTTCTTTCTTCTTTCGTCTTTTTTTTGGTTCAAAAATAACAACAGAGTACAAACATCTGTATCTATCACTTCATAATCACCAATCACCAATGTCGACCGTCTTCTCTTCATAATCTGCTTTTTCTCAATTTCAGCGAAGATGCCGCTGCAAAGCTTCTAGAAATTGCTGCTCAACCATCACTTAAGGTTTTTAAGCTTTTCCATCAAACATTTTATTGAAACTCATAAATTTTTTAAGCCGAAACATCGTCATAGCGTTCATGCTTCAACTGTTCAGCATTTGCATATAACTCAAGAACAAATGGAAAAGCTGACCATTGATAATCATCATCATGAGAAGCATAAGAATGTAATGGATACTGCTTCATCTTGTCAATCATTCATATGATCCATTTCAGGGTGTAAATGGACCACAACGTTCCACATCATCTGAGCATTGTCGTGAAAAGAAAGATTCTGTTGGCAGCTCTAATCCCAACAAATTTCTACGCTGGCTCGGATTAGCTGGAAAAGAAAGTGACAAAGAGCCATCCGTTGATTTTAAGGAGCTCAAGAAGCGTCGAATGAGCACATTCACCTAAACCCTCTTCGTGTTCTATTCATACGCTCGATGATAAGAATTCTGTGAATTTCATTTCGTTTGTGTCTACTTCTTCATCTTCATGTTTAGCTTCTTCTTCTTCTTCATCTTCCTTCATCTTACTTCCCCATCTCCACCCTCTCTCTCTCTCTCAACCCCTCTCTCTCTCTCCTTCCAAACACCAATCCCCGTGTTTCCATGTTTCAAATTCTAATCATGTTCGATCTGATCTGATGTTCAAACATTTTGTTTTGTTTTCTCTCAAAAATATTTCAAAGTGTATCTCAATCTCTTCTTCACCAATACCGTGACATCGGGTTGAATTCAAAATCTTCTTCGTATTTGTCGTTATCATCAAAAATCAAATTAAGAGAGATATGCCCCCTCAGGGCAATTTCATTAATTATCATTTTAATTGGCAAAGCTTTCGTCCATAGTCTCATTCAAAGGTAAATTCTCATATTCATCTTTGAAAGATATTATTTGTACATATATATTCCATAAATGGAACAGACTCAAAGAGTGTTTAAGAGAGTATGAGAAGAGAAGACACATAGAGCGATCTGAGGTGTGAAGCTTGGTAACTTGAACAGGCTCAAAGCTGAATGAATGATCTCTCATTAGCTCTCTCTCTCTCTCTCACACCCTCTCTTTCTCCTCTGTTAGTCTCCATCCCAATGTTCTCCAATTATTTTCTTTTCTTTTTCAAAAGAATAAAGATTACAATTATCTCATTTTCTATTTTTTCAACTTTGAACCTGAGAAACAGCAGCTTCACAGGCTTCGTTGCACATGTCCTTCCAACGATCACTAATCACATAATCATCTTCAGAACACTTGTAATTAACTTAACCAATACTGTTTCATTTCATTTTCAGCTTATAAGGAGGAATAGTCAAAGAGAGAAAGGAAGTTAGTGACATAAACAGAGAAAGTTCAGTAATGGCTCAGTTCATCATTTCAACTTGAAGCAAACTATAAGAACAACGATGGAGCAGACTACGGTCAAAACGTTTATGACGATCTCTAACAACCGCCAAACATCCAATCGGCAATTAGCAGACAAGTTCTGTGAGTAGTTGAACGAGAGAGGAAGTGAGGGTAGCCGCGAAAGAGAGAGTATGAGTAAGAGAGTGATAACAACAAACAAAATGTGATAATAATGAATGAATGTCTATACGCATTCCCTGCGGCGTCATTGCGTTTCATCTTGAGCACACAAATAAGGGAAATGTCCTTTTTTGTGTTATGTTGTTGTTAGTTCAAAGAACAATTCTATTCATTTATTTCCAATACAACGTTTACAAGGAACTATTTGTGAATGCTTAAACGAGGTTCTTAATATAGAAGGAGAATGTCAAAAACAAAGCTGAGATCTGCTCCAGATGGCAAGCAACCTTTGTTATTCTCTCATTCATGAGCCATTATTCCATTTCACAATGAATTCAACTTGTTTCAATAATTTCCGGAAACGGAAAGTTTGTTTTCCAAACCATCCGTCTATATCTCTTCTTCTTCTTTCAGCTGAATAAGATACTATGTCATCATCACAACAAACACATTGTTGGTAGTTCATCTGAAGACGACTCGAAATGAACCTAATCAAGGTTGAACTTCAGGAGTCTCAAGCTTATTCTACACAGAGTTTTGGAAACTTCTTATGACCATTGTTGATTCTCATTACACTCTCACATTTCAGAGCCCAATTCAGCCAGCCTCCGAGCATTTATCGAATTTTTTGAAACTATTGTAGTTCGCAATGATTTGCTGTAGTTCAAACTGTTTGATTCTCTGATCTCACTCATTGGTTTTCTCATTCGTCCAACATGTTCTCGATTGATTGGTTAGGAGCCCCTCTTTACTGTTCTTGATTTTACTCCACAATTTTACGCTCTGTTTATACTTTTTTATTTTGCACGCAACCAGAAAGTTCTCGGTCGTGTTGGCGTGTAACACTCTAGCCCTCCTCTTAGTGATATCTTCGTCAAACCTTTTCGTTTTTGTACTTCGATCGAGTGCTCATTGCCATTCTCGACAGTTACAACACGCCCCTCCCCTCATAAACAACTTACAGTCTTATCGATTACTTATAAACATCTTGTTGTTTCCTTGATCCA